CTTGGTTGTCACCTCTCTCTTGATTTTCGGCGCCCCTTTGGTTTCCGGCGTCCATTTCAAGTTCGACGACGCTTTGGTTTTTGGCGCCCTTTTGGGTTTTCGTGCTTTTTGGTTTTCGGCGGCTTTTTGGAGTTCGGAGCTGCTCTGGTTTTCGACGCTCTTTTGGTTTTCGGCGTCTCTTAGGTTTTCGGCGCCCCGCTGGTTTTCGGAGTTTTAGTTTTCCTTTTTTTTTGTTTTTGTTTTTTTGTTTGTTTGAGTTTTCGGTGCCTCTTTGGTTTTCGACGTTGGTTAGGTGTTCGACGCATTTTGGTTTTCGGTGCCCCGTTGCTTTTCGGCGCACTTTTGGCTTTCGCGCTCCTTTGGTTTTCGGTTCCCTTTTGGTTTCGGCGCTGCTCTGGTTTTCGACGGTCTTTTGGTTTTCGGCGTCTCTTAGGTTTTCGGCGCCCCGCTGGTTTTCGGAGTTTTTTTTTTTTTTTTTTTGTTCTGTTTTTTTAGTTTTCGGTGCCTCTTTGGTTGTCAGCGTTGGTTAGATGTTCGGCACCTTTTGGTTTTCGGCGCCCCGTCGCTTTTCGGTGCTCTTTTGGCTTTCGCGCTCCTTTGGTTTTCGATCCCCTCTTGGTTGTCGGCGTTCTTTTGGTTGTCGGCACCCCTTGGGTTTTCGGCGCTCCGATGGGTTTCGGTACTCCTTTGGTTTTCGGGGCATCTTTGGTTTTCGGCGCCGTTCTGGTTTTCGGTGCCCGTGCGGTTTTCGACGTTTCTTTAGTTTTCGGCGCCCTTCTGGTTTTCGTGCCCTTTCGGTTTTCGGGTGCTCTGCTGGTTTTCGGCGCTGTTTTTGGTCTTCGGTGCTCCTTCCTTTCGCCAAGGGGCGGGGGGGTCCACGCCCCTCCCCCCCTTTCGCCCAAAGGGGGGGGGGTGCTTCCCGCAGGGGAGGTTCAAAGGGAGGGGTTCGCTAAGCTCCCCCCTTTGGAAAGGGAGGGAGGGCAGCTTCCAGAGGGGGGAACAGCTTCCGAGGGGCGGGGGGGAACAGAAGGGGGGAGGGGCTTCCGGCAGAGGAGGTTCAAGGGAGGGGGGGTAGTTAAGCCACCCCTCCTTTTGGACAGGGGGGGGGGGCAGCTTCCTGAGCGCGAGAGGGGTGGGGGCGGGGGGTAGCTTCCGAGGGGCGGAAAAAAAGGAGGTGGTGAGGCTTCTGGCAGGGCAGGTCCCGGGGGGGGGAGCTAAGGGGGGACCCCTCCTTTGGGAGTGCGCCACGGGCGCGTTATCTCCAAGCTTTTACGGCGAATGAGCGCGGCGCTATTATGCGAGCCCTATTTTTAAAAGGAGCCGCCCTCCATCTTCGTATCTGGTGCAAGCTTTTCAGACGAGAGTGCGCGGCGTTCAGGCGAGAGCCCCACTCCTTGATCCCCCTCCATCTCGTTTTTCCGAACTTTGACACGACAGTGCGTGGCATTACGGCGAGGGCCCAATTTTGGAAACGAGCCCCCCCCCTCCGTCCGTGAAGCTGTCGCAGTATTTACAATTGCCTTCGGCCCATCCCGCCACCGTGCCTGGGTTGTGGATCAGAGTTCTCAGGGATGCTTCTTCGGGTCTCTTCGGAGCGCTCTCGGGGGCCTCTTAGGAGCCTCTGGGTGGCCTCTTGGGGACCTCTGGGGGGGCCTCTTGGGGGCCTCTTTGGGCCTCGTGGGGGCATCCTGGCGCATCCTGGGGCCTCTTGGGGGCCTCCTGGGGGCCCGATCGGGGCCGAGGGCTCAGAATGTTCGCTCGGGTTCCTCAGCTGGGTCTCCTCTTAGGGCCGTCTTTGGGTCTTGGGCGCCCGCTGGGGGGCCTGCCAGGTCGTCTTGGGGCGATCTTGGGGGCCTTCTGGGCCGTCGGGGAGCGTCGGGAAGCCGAAAAGCATCCTTCCGTGATTTTTGCCGCCTGGAGCCCTCTCGAGAGGCCTCGTGCAGGCCTTTTTAGGGGTCTTCGGGGCCTTTGGGGCCGTCTTGGGGCCATCTTGGGTGTCTTGGACCGCTCGTTCGGCGACTCGGTGCCCTCTTGGGCCGTCTTCAGGGCCTCCTGGAGCCCTCTCTTGGCCCGTCCTGGGACCCTTCACTGTTCCGAAGAAGTCCCGCGGGAGGCCTCGAGAAGCCCCATGCATGGGGCACGCGGGAAGCCCCAGCAGATTTGGCAATTGGGGGTCAGGGCCCCCGGAACACTCCTCAAGAACGAGGATCGAGGCTTACAGTGAGCGGCTCGAATAAGGAACACTTCCTTTTCAAAAGGGGCTCGGTCGTTCCTTAGGCTTGCATGCGTTATTCATCCTTCCTTCATGCGTTATTTGTTATATATATATCGTTCCTTCTGCGTTACTCCCTGGAAAAATCAGGGGCTTCGTTCCTTATTTGTCGTTCCTCAGGTCAGGCCGATGACTGCAGAGGGTTGGGCCCAGGACGTGAGGACGCGCCCTCCCTGTGCCCAGCGGTGCGGCGGCGGATCTCAGGGCGACCCGTGCGCGGCGCTGGGGCGAGAGCCCCCTTCTGGAAGGGACCGCCGTCCATCTTTGCACCTGTCGCAAGCTTTTCAGACGAATATGCGGCTATGCGCGGCGCTAGGGCGAGGGTCACACTTTCAAAAGAATCATTTTCCATCCTGGAAGTAATTGCACACTTTGAGAACGAGTGTGCGCGGCGCTGAGAGCCCCATGTTGAACACCACCCTGCCGCCGTCCGTGTAACTGCTGCTAGTCTGCAGCACGAGTGTGCATGGCGCCACTGCGAGAGCCCGACTTTGACCCCCCCCGCCACGTGCGCAACTCTTGCGCATCTCAAGCTTCCGGATCAGAAGTGGTTCGGAATTCTCAAGCGACCCGTTCTACCGAGGCGGAGGATCAGGAGGACGATGACGAGGACAACGTCGCAGGGGGTTTGGGCATGGGGCGGGGAGGGTGGGCAGAAAAGGGATGTACGGGGGGCCCGGGAATGGGGAGGGGGATTCCTCTCCCTTCCTTGTCCTCGTCGTCGTGGTCGAGTCACCGCCGTCGTCGTCGTGCTCCTTCCTTCATTCCCCTTGCAGATCCTCCACCTCGTGCCCTTCTTCCTCCTCGTCCCTCTGCCTCTTCCACCCGCCTCCTCCGCCCCTCCCCTGGGGCCCCCTCCGCACCTACCACATCCTCCGCCTCCTGCCCCCAGCGCCCTCTTCCCTCGCTCACCCCCCCTCTCTCTCTACGGTCGGGGCGTTGACCTGAGGAACCCTAAATAGGCAACGAGGCTTCTTTTTTTCCATAAGTTGAACTTCGATTTCCCATCGAAAGCACAAGGCAAACCGGAGGCAAGCCGTGAAACACTCAGGGAACGCGGAGACCCTCCCCAACGAATATGGGGCTCTTCTTCAGGGCCCCGACTGTACCCTTGCCCCCCCCTCTCTACCCTCTCTCTCGCTCCCCCCCTCTCTCTCGCTCCCTCTCCCTCTTCTTCAGCGCCCTCTCCTCTCGCTCCCCCCCTCTCTCTCTCTCTACCCTTGCCCCCCCCCCCTCTCTCTCGCTCCCTCTCCCTCTTCTTCAGCGCCCTCCTCTCTCGCTCCCCCCCCCTCTCTCTCTACCCTTGCCCCCCCCCCTCTCTCTCTCTCCGTCCCCCCCCCCTCCTGCTGGTCGCGGCGACAGCGCCCTCGCCGGCTCTCCCCCCATGGGGGAGGCCCTGCGCGGCTGTCCAGAGATCTCCCACTTCGGGAGAGGCAGCGCGGGCCTCCTCCCCCTCCCCGCGACGGCGACGGCGACGGCGACGACCGCGACGGCGATCGGGGGGAGAGCAGGGGGAAGAAGAGGGGCCAGGGAAGGGGGAACGGGGGAGGGAGGGGGGGAAGGGGAAGGGGGAGGGGGGAAGGGCAAGTTAGGTGCGCTCGCGTCAACATCTGACATCCTACCCCTCCCTCCCATCCCTTACCATGGCGCTGATTTTCTCTATCCGCGGACGCGTGTCGTAGCGGACCTGTGGCTCCGCGCGCGTGTGCGTAGTGGGTGGTGGTGCGCGTGCGTGCGTGCGTGTGTGCGTGGTTGTGGTTGTTGTGGTGGTGGTGTGTATGTGTGTGTGTGTGCGTGTGTGTGCGTGTGTGTGGTGTGACGTGGTGTGGTGTGTGCGTGTGTGCGTGTGTGCGTGCTGTGGTGTGACGTGGTGGCGTCTTGGTGGTTTGGTGGTGGGCCAGGTGCGTACGTGCGTGATGGCGGTGGTGGTGGTGGTGGCGGTGGTGGTGTGTGTGTGTGTGTGTGTGTGTGTGTCTGTGTGTGTGCGTGTGTGTGTGTGTGTGTGTGTGTGTGTGTGTGTGTGTGTGCGTGTGTGTGCGTGTGTGTGTGTGTGTGTGTGTGCGTGCGTGCGTGCGTGCGTGCGTGCGTGCGTGCGTGCGTGCGTGCGTGCGTGCGTGTGCTGTGTGTGCGCGCGTGTGATGTGGTGTGACGCGGTGTAGCGTGGTGGTGGTGGTGGTGGGGTAGTGCGGTGGTGGTGGCGGTGCGCGGTGGTGGTGCGCGTGCGTGCGTGCGTGCGTTGGTGGGTGGAAGTGGCGGTGGGTGTGCGTGCGGCGGGGCGGGGCGTGGTGCGGCGCGGTGGTGGCGGGCGGATGGGCGCGCGAGAAAGAGGCCCGCGCTGGGGCGAGAACGCCATCCTGAACGACGGAGGCAAACCACCGATCCGAAAATGAGGCCCACGCTGCAGCGGGAGCACGATTCGGAAACGATTCGGGAGCAGAAGTGAGGCCGGCGCCTCAGCGAGAGCAGCATTTAGAAAAAAACGCAGGCGAAAACCCAACTCCCGGGAATCCTGTGTGTAAAAAAACAGTACGCGGGGGGGGGGTCGGCTACTCCCATTCCGTCATCAGGGGAAGAGGGAGAGTAGTATTCATATTGAGTAATTATGGAGGGGGAGGGGGAATGGGGAGGGAAGAGGCAGGGGGGAGGGAAGGGAGGAGGGAGCAGGGAGAAGGCAAGGGGGGAGGGAGGAGGGACGACGAGGCCCCCCCCCCGTCTTGTGGCCGCCGAGGAGCCGCCGCGGCCCCCGGCGCCCGCAGCCCGCGCCGCGCCGCCCGCCGCCGCCGCGGCGCCCCGCGCGCGGCGGTGGGCCGACTTTTCGGACGACTCGGAGGCGGGGTTCGACCGGGGGGGGGTGCTGCGAAGGCGGGCAGCAGGGTGCAGCAAGGGGGCCAGGAGGGAAAAGCGGCCCATACCGCCGCTCGTCCTGGAGAGCCCTCGTCCCCACGGCTAACTTCGCCTCGAGCTTTTTTGGTCAGAGTGCAGCCCTGGGAGTTGCAGTATCAGTACCTTTTTTCCCCCTCCTGGATCAAGGGGAAGGAAGGGGAGGGAGCGGCCAAGAGGGGGGTGATGACGAGAGGGGAGTGGATATCATGACCGGGACCACGACATCTCCCCGCATTTCATGGCCCCCTCTGGTTCTTTCAACACGTCCCTTGCTCCCTCCCCTGGGGCCTCAGGATCGCCGCAGGCTGGAGGAAGTTCTGGGCCCTCAAGAAGCTTCTTTTGAATCGTTCCTGCTCCGTGAACAAGAGTCTGCGGCTTTTCGGCAGCACTGTCTCCGGCACTGTCCTCTGGGCATCAGAATCATGGTCGCCGCGGGTGGAAGAGCTAAGACGGCTCAAAGCCATGCAAAGGCGGATTGTTGGCTGCAGCCGGAAGCCTGAAAAACCGTGGGTGGAGTGGATTCAAAGGACAACGAGGAAAGCCCGGGCATCGGCAAGGAGCTCAACAGTCCAACAGTGGCCGGAAGCACATTTTCAACGGAAGTGGCGGTGGGCTGGCCACGTTGCCCGCATGCCTTATCAAGATTGGGCGGGAAAAGTCACAAGGTGGCGGGATTCGTCGTGGCAGGGGTCTGTCGTGAATGATTTTCAGAGACCGCTCAGACCCTCTCGCCGGCCCTGGATGAAGTTTGAAGCATCAATGAAAAAGTTCTGTTTGGGACAAAGTTTTGGCGAATGACAGATTTTAGCGAACGACCGGGCGAAGTGGCACCAGTACTCCGAGGACTTCGTCCCCCGCGGGCCTTGGACGGCGCTTGCTCCTTGCTCCTTGCTCCCACCCTTGGGCCGCGCACGTGAGAGCTCGGGCGAAGCAGAACGCACACAGAGCTCGCGATCTCAGTGCCGCTCCGAGGCATGCGCGGGCGACTTCGGCTCGGCACGTGCGCTCGTTGTGCGGGCACGTGCGCGCGCGGCATGTGCCCCGTCCTGTGCGGCTGCGTTCGGCTTCGGCGCGTCGTGATCTGGCGGCGTGTGCGCCTGTGCGGTGCCATGCGCGGTGGCATGCGTCTGGCGCGTGTGGAACCAGGATTTGGGGGCGGCGCCCGCGGGCCCCCCGAGTGGCCCGCCATTTGATGGCCCTGGCACCCGCCGGCGGCCCCTGGGAGAGCTTGCACGCTGGCCCTCCTTGGCGGCAGCCGCGCCGCGCACGTCGGCGCTGCTCCGCCCAGCCGCTCGCTTGGCGTCCCTAAGTGGTCTCCTCCTGCGGGCGTTCCTTTTTCCCTCGGCCTGCCTCCGCGGCCTCGAGGCCTCGAGGCCTGCTGTCTCGCTCGTGGTATGTATCTCCGAGGGGTTGTCCAGGTTGCGCGGGAGGGAATTCCTGCAAGTTCTGCTTCTGCGAAAGTAAGTCCTGTGCGGACGTGTGCGGGCATGTGCGGGGAGGCGGCGGCTTCAGCGCTGACCCATGCACAGAGGCGCACAGGTGGGTGTGCACGCATTTTGCGACATGTGCGCAGTGAGATCGCAGAATACAGAAAATCAGCAGTCAAGTAATCAACCTTGCAATCATGAGCCCCGTGTGAAGTAAGTGGCTGGGACGGGCTGGCGGTGCCCGTCCTCCTTCTGTCCTCTCCTCTCTCCCCTGCCTGCGGCCCATGTGGGCTCCACTTCTTCTCGGGGCCTTGCCCTCAACCAGGCCACGACGTTGAGCAGCCCGCGGTGGGCCAATGGCCGCTGTGAGCGGCACAGCGCGCGCCCGCCCAGCCGGCGGGCAGGCGCGTGACGAGCGCGCCCCTTCCCGCACGTCGAGAGGGGCGCTTGCGTTTAGCGGCAGCGGCCACAAAAAACAACGCCGCAGCCGATCGCTGTAGCTGGTCACCGCCATGCGGTTTTGTGCACGTCCCCAGCTCTTTCCAAATTGACGTGCACCGGGCTACGGTGCGCACCCCCCCGTCCTGGGCGGATCGAGATGTGGGGGGGGCGGGGGAGGGGGCGGGGGAGGAAGAGAAACAGGGCGCCCCATGTTCACAGCACCGAGCTGGATGGTGCACAAAGCGTTGCCGATGCAGGCCGCCGAGGCGCGCCTGCGCGGAGCATGGTGATGGAGACGAATATGATCATGACGATGGGACGGAAAAATAGCATGATGATGACGATAGTGACGGTGAGGATGACGATGATGATGTCGATGCTGCTGGTGATGCTGATGGTGATGATGATGACGATGATGATGATGATGATGGTGGTGATGGTGGTGGTGATGGTGATGATGATGATGATACCGGTGGTGATGATGATGCTGATGATGTTGATGATGATGCTGATGTTGATGATGATGGTGATGGTGATGGTGATGATGCTGTTGCTGATGATGACGATGATGATGGCGATGATTAAAAATAAGAAAGTGATACTGGCGATGGTTCTGATGGTGATTGTGATTGTGATCATGATGATGCTGACAATAATGATACTGATGATGATGAATGTGATGGTCTTTGCGATGCTGATGATGCTGGTTCTGATAATGTTAATGGGTATGAGGATGAGGGTGAGGATGATGATAGGGGGTGACGAGGGTGAATATGCGAATGAGGGTGATGATGATGCTTATGGTGATGCTGACGATGAGGATGAGGAGGAGGAGGAGGATGGTGAGGATGACGACGAGTCTGATGGTGATAAGGACTATGATGACGAATGTGATACTGCTGATGACTGTGATGCTGCTGATATTGGTGATGTTCCATGTGATGATGAGGGTGATGACGAGAAGTAAGGGGAGGATGATGAGGGTGAGGATAAAGGTGATGATGATGATGACGATGATGACTATTATGATGCTGACGGTGATGATGATGATGATGATGATGATGATGATGATGATGATGATGATGCTGTTGCTGATGATGATTATGCTGATTATGGTGCTGATGGTGATGATGTGGATTATGAATACGGTGGTGGTGGGGATTGGTGATGACGATGGAGAACGATGAGGACGATACTGATGCTGATGATGGTGGTAGTGGTGGTGGTGGTGGCGATGATTACGATGTTGATAATGCTGCTGCTGTTGGTGGTGGTGATGACGATGGCGATGACGATGATTATGATGACGATGATGATTAGGAGAAGGAGGAGGAGAAGGGGAAGAGGAGGATGAGGAAAACGAGTACACTGATGATGGTGATGATGATAATGATGATGACGATGACGATGACAATGACGATGACGATGATGATGATGATGATGATGATGATGATGATGATGATGATGATGATGATGATGATGGTGATGGTGATGGTGATGGTGATGGTGATGGTGACGATGTTGATGAGGATGATGATGATGATGATGATGATGATGATGATGATGATGGTCATGGTGATGATGATGGTGATGGTGATGGTGATGATGGTGATGCTGATAATGGTGATGATGCTGCTGCTGATGATGATGTTGATGATGATGCGTATGCTGATAAGGATGTGGATGTTGCTCATGCTGATGTTGACGATGATGTTGCTGCTACTGCTGAGGAGGAGGAGGAGGAGGAGGAAGAGGAGGAGACGGAGAAGGCTCCTCCCTCAACCTCCTCCATCTGTCATCTCGCCCTCCATCCATCCATCGGTCTCCTCCTTCCCGTCCTTCTCCCGGCGGCGGCACCCGCACAGGTCGAGGCGCCCGCGCCCGCTGTGGCAGCCGCGGCCCGTCCAGCCAGCTTTGCCCGCCCCGCCGCCGACGCCGCAGCGGACGCAGGCCGCGCCGCCGCGACGCCGCTGCCGTTGCCGCCGCGCCGCGGCGCCGCCGCCAACAATGCCGACGACGCCGACGCCGCGCCGCCGCTCGCCGTTGCCGCCGCCGCGCGCGGCCGCCGACGCCGGGCGCGCCGTCACCATGATCGTTCCTTTTTGCTGCCGAGGCGCGAGGCTCGGCAAGAAACCCAGCTCCACAGCAGGTGCTCCGCTGAACTCTCCTTGCTCGGCGGCACCCCCACGGGGGAAGGCCGAGGGGCGGGTCTTGTCAAGAGCCCCTGAGGTCTCTGGCCTTCTGGGAATCTCCGTAAGCCTCATCTGGAGACGCAGACGTCTTCTCAGGGCTCCTCCTCCTCCTCCTCCTCCTCCCCCCCCTCCTCTTCCTCCCCCTCCTCCCCCCTCCCCCATCCCTCCCTCCCTCCCTCCCTCCTCCTGCTCCTCCTCCTCCTCCTCCTCCTCCTCCTCCTCCTCCTCCTCCGTCGCAGAAGCCCCGCCGCCTTCTTAGAACGCTCGCCCCCTCTCACGTCCCCCCCCTCGGCGCGTCGCCGACTTGTGCCCCGATGGCCCACGGTGCCCTCGGGCAGTGCTCAAGGTAGCCAAACATGTGTTCCTGGACGTGTGTCGTGTGTGCGTTCTGTGCCGTAAGTCTCGGGGGTGGACAGAACCCCCAACAGTGACACTTCGATTAGTGAATTGTCCGTTTTCGGTTCCCGAGAGGGCGCCGTGGCCGTTATTTTCCAGGCTTGCGCCCGCCAGGTTTGGGCCTCAGGTCGTTTTCACTAAACCACGTTTTACTAAAGGGGGGTCTGTCCATCCCCGAAAGTCGGCGCTTATTTGGCACCCAGCCCTCCTTTGTCCGGGTCCTCGTTCTGAACAGAGAGCGCCCGTTGCTCTTTCTTTCGTGGCCTCTTTCTGCCTCCGCCCTCTTCACTCCTTCATTCTATTCGTCCTGTGATCTCTCATTCCCTGGCCGCCTCCTGGAAGCCAGCCTTCCTTTCTCTCATCTCTTCTCGTTCCCTCAATCCGCCCTC